GACGTCACCAGAGCCTGCGAGATGGATGGCAGTCACAGGCTTTGCAATCTAACCTCGAGTGTTGCATTCCTTTCTTTCTTTGTTTCTGTGTCATCTCATTGTTTAGAAGAAGTCCAGCCCTCCCTCCAGGGCCCTGAATTTTACAAAGCTGTGTGTATTCACCTCACAGGAGGCAAGGTTCATTTGGAGGCATCGTGGGAGCTATCACAGTGTTTGCAGCATTGGCCTTGTGTTTGACAGTGACTTGATTCTGACTCAGGGTGGCCCAGTGTGTGCAAAGGGTTTCCAAGCACAACATCAGGCCTGTCTTTCAAGGTGGGATCAATCTGCCCACCTCTTGCCTCGTGACCTTTTTACACCTCTCAGTGGCTCCCTGTCTGAAGCACTGAGGGCCATGGAAGAAAGCAGTCAAGGGTGCCCCCCTCCGTGAAGGAGCATGTTATTTATCCATTGTGCGGCAAGTTTGGTATGCCTGTATTGAGTTGGTGGTGGGCCAGTTTTAATAGCCAGAAAAGGGGGAACATTTGCATAATTAAATAAATTACCAGCAATTAACTAAATGAAAGAAGCCTATGCTTAGACTAGACTGTTGTGGAAGGTTCTGTACGACAGGACTTCTGATGCATGCCGTTCTGGTCACTAGGTACCTTACATAATAATAACTAATGAGGCATCTGGTGTGTTGTGAGACTCTGGACAGATGTCGCTTTTAGTGTTCTGGATGAGTTTGGGTTAATTAATATAAATGAAGGCATGAGTATGTTCAAACTCAACCAATTACCAAAAGTGGAGAAAGCTCATGAAACAAAGATGCTGGCTAATCCAATTCTGCCCATCTGATGCTAATCGGAAGGGGAGGCAGCGGTGGGGCCTCCCCACACTGCGCAAAGGACTCGGGACAGGCACCCGGCCTTTCCTCCCGGTGCTGCTGGTTTGGCCTGACAAAGGTTTATTTTCTTTCTTTTAAAAGGAAAATGACCCGAGAATCAACTAATCCATGAGCTCAAGTGAGGTTTCAGTAAGAGACAGTCCACGCACACCAGCTTATTCACAAGTGAGAGCCATGAACAAAGATCTAGATTTTTGCTTCTGTGTATCAGGAGCAGAGAGACAACTGTTTGTCATCCTCAGAGTTATTCCTTTTCCTGTGGGTTGTGGCTTCATGGGTGTGTTTTTTTCTTCCTTCTTCAAATTGCTAGTCAAATAAACCAGTTAATAAAATAAGCATACCAGTTGGGGGCCGAAGATAAAATGTGCTGTAAGCCAAAGTGCTTATTTGACCTCCATTCAAAATTCTCTAAATCTAGGCTGGTTTATTATTATTTTTATAACAAATGCATTGGACCACAGAGAAAGAACACGAATTTGCTGATTTAGTCATTTCCTAATGATGACAGTGCTGGCTCTTAACACCGTGAGTAGGTAGTGAACAAATTAATGTAAAATAATTTTAAAAGCTCGTATTATTTATTGGGTGTACCATGCGTATACAAGGAGTAGGTGGGCACTAACCTGAGTCAAAAAAGACCCTGTATTGACAATAAAGAGAGGGTGGTGGGAGTCCGTCCATTCCAGCCACCGTGCATTTTATTTATAGAAAATGGTGGAGGACATTTGTCTCCTCTGCTGTCTATATATTCCATTTAAACCAGCGATTCTCAACCTGTGGGTTATCACCCCCTCGGGGTCAAACGATTCATCACAGTAGCAAACTGACAGTGATGAAGTAGCAATGAAAATAATTTTATGGTTAGGGGGTCACCACCACATAAGGAGCTGTATGAAAGGGTCAGGGCATTAGGAAGGTTGAGAACCACTGATTTAGGTTAACGTTGTTGTGGCCTTCAGCAACATCTCTGCTACCCTGGTGACGAGGTAGTCATTCGTTAGGCTGCTAACCACAAGGTCAGCTGTTGGAAACCACCGTCCGCTCTGTTGGAGACAGAGCGGGCTCTCTCCTCCTCTGCAGCGTGACAGTCTCAGAAACCCACAGGAGCAATTCTACTCTGTCCTGCAGGCTGATGAGGGGGCACAATCTATTCTATGGAAGTGAGCTTGGTTTGGTTTGGGTCCGTTCACGATCCATTTTCGTTAACTTCCTGAGGGGAGAAGAGGACATTGGACTATGGAAGAAACTGACAATGTCCTAGATGTTGGGTTTAAGGTGTTCATGATAATTGCTAAATCCTTAGGATGTGGGCCAAATAAATGACCGAGGTTCCCACAGTGGGAATGATGTGACACGGCTATTCGAATTACTTCTTTATCTCTATTACTGAAGTCCAATTATAAGACAGTCTATTCAAGCTGTGGAAAAGGTGAGCCTATAGACAGATACAGCAGTATTCATGGGTTTCTAACGCTTTTGTGGATAGCGATCTATTATTAGATGTGCATCAGTGAATAAATCAATACACTAATGAAACAGATGAAAGTGGAGGACCTATGATGAGAGCGATTATGATTAAAATATTTCGGGAGCATTGAGGTCCATTAAAAATAGATGAAGCATATAACCTGTTTGGATGAGGAGCAAATAGAAAGATAAATTTAATAAGTTTGTTAGCTTGTTCTGATCAGGGGCTAAATTGGTGGTTGACTCACTCACTAACTAAATGAAAGAAGATAGCCTCATTTTCCTCCCAACGGGCTGTGCTCCCTTTGAGCCACCGACTTTCCAGTTAGCAAGCCCAACACTTAACTCCTTGCTGGCACACTCACTGCCGTTGAGTCCATCCTGACTCTTGGTGAGGGGAGGGTAGGGTAGGATAGGGTATGGTAGGGTAGGGTAGTGTAGTGTAGGGTAGGGTGGGGTAGGGTAGGTTAGGGTAGGTTAGGGTAGGGTAGGGTAGTGTAGTATAGGGTAGGTTAGGGTAGGGTAGGATAGGGTAGGGTAGGATAGGGTAGGGTAGGGTAGGGTAGGGTAGGTTAGGGTAGGGTAGGGTAGGTTAGGGTAGGGTAGGGTAGTGTAGTATAGGGTAGGTTAGGGTAGGGTAGGATAGGGTAGGATAGGGTAGGGTAGGGTAGGGTAGGATAGGGTAGGGTAGGTTAGGGTAGGGTAGGGTAGGGTAGGATAGAACTGCCCCATGTGGGTTTCCAAGACTGTAACAACTCACAGGAATAAAAGCCCTGTTTTTCTCCTGAGAATATCCTAGTGGTTTGCAGCTGCAGACCTGGAAGATTGCTCCCCAGTGCGTAACTGCAGTGCCACCAGGGCTTCCTTGCAGACATAGACGTACACAACCAAATCAAGGGCTCTGGGTGAGCTGACTTCTGTGAAACAAGCATCTCGATTAATCCCATTTGAATGCAACCCATTTACAAGTTGCAAACATTTGTCTATGTGGGGAGCACTGAGACTACCGGTCTAACAGAGATCGTCCCCACTCTTGCCTTTAGCGATGGAGACAGTGGTAGCTCTCACCCTATTAACAATTAAAGTTGAGCGACTCATTGGACAACTAGAAGCTGGTGATAAAAATTTGCCACCAATCAAAGATGTTGATTAATTAGTCATATTCACCAGATACCCGTTAAAGTTCATCACAACGGTTTCTTTCTTTCTAGTGTCTAACTTTATACTCAGAGTGACCACAAGAGAACTAATTTCTGGTAATAAAATTTTTACTCGTGACCGATGGGGATATAAAGAGCATAGACTGCACTTAATAATTGCCCAAGTTCTTGGTTTGGATGATTTATTTGGTCACAGTGTTTATGGCATTATGTAACAATGATAAAAAAGCCAGGAATCCCAAGCTTGGGTCAATTATTAAACAATTTTCAAGTGGCCCTTAAAGAAATAAGGAGCATTTTCTTGATGTTCGTCGTGGGTTAGTGTTCAGTTTGTCTTTGATTGTTGTTAGAGGTCTTCGCGTCAGCTCTGGCTGAGAGCCAGCTACCGCAGCGGAACAAAAGACTGCACAGTCCTGCGACAACCACCCAATTTGCAGACTAATCTTTAAATTCCCTGAGAGAGGAGTGTGGGAGAAAGATGAATCTTTCTACCCCCGTACAAAAGTTCCCGTCTTAGAAACCCACAGGGGCCGTTCTGAGCCTGCAAGGCTGATGAGCCAGCATGGCCTTGATGGCTGAGTTTGTTTGCTTGGCTTTGGTATGAGTTTTGAGAGAGGAGCACATGAGCATATAGAGAAAGATGAGGCTGTCTACTCCCGTAAGGATTTTTTTTAAGTCTTAGAAACCCAAAGAGGTGGTTCTACTCCGTCCTATAGGCTTGCTGGTCGGAATCCAAAACTTATATCCCAAGGCACCCACTTTGGTCCAGTGATGACGAGTGATGGTTTCTGCAACTCTCGGAGCCAACACAGAGAGATGTAGCCCTACGTGGAAATGATAATGAATATTAGGAATATTAATGGATCTGGTACATCGCCTTTTATGACTTAGCTGTTTTGTTGAATATGATATTAAAGTCGATGGATGTATTCCATTGAAAATACGCAAATCAATACAATCAATACACTATAAACGGTGGCACATAGTCCAGTTCTAAATGAATATGACAAAGCAAAGAATACTCTCTTCGTATCTTGAACCCCAGCATTCTTAGAACTAGAGCATTTCTAGAGCAGAGGAGTTACTGTTTTGACTAAAGGTCACCTGGACAGCCCAACTCCAACTCCAACGTTCTTGTCCTTGGAGAAGTCGCCCTGAGTGTGGTTCCGATCAGCATTGCCCAGGGCCCCATCACCCACTAAACGCATGAGCAATGAAAGGTGGTCAGTTCTGAAAAATGCCTCAGTATGTGTATCCTCTGCTCTACACCCCTCAGGAAGGATGCTCTGGGCTGAGGTCGGTGTCTGCAGGGATCGTGTGCAAGACCTTGATGGCATGCGTGAGAAACAGGGGAATTGATGTGAGTAGCAATGAAAAATTGTGTGTTAATTACGTATCTCCGATTTCTTAATTTTTATTATGTTGTTGCGGAAGTCATCCCTTACAAGGTGTGTGTTTTGCAAGAAGAAAGCCAGGGCTAATCCTGGACCAATGATGACAACCATTGCCATCCGAGTCACGGACGATGAACAGTTTGTGTCTGGAAGTCTGAGGTCCCAAGCAATGAAAGACCTGGTCTCTTCTCTATGTTAAAAGGATTGTATGCACAGGAGGATTTAAGGGGCTTTTGTACGTGACTGTTATAAAAACAAAATACATAGAAGTATGCATCAGAAATATTCCGTTGATAAGAACGTCTGAATGTCAAAGCATCTTCGGTCTCTAAAGGCACAGGGCAGAGCAAAGAATGCCCTTTTCCTAGACCCCAGCCCTACCTTCCTTAAGAATGGTACTCATGAGGGGTGGGAAGTGGTTCCCTCTTTGGCCAAGAATCATTGGGACCTTCCTTCTCAGAGCCCACAGGCTCACACTTGGTGGCATAGTGCCAGATAGTATTATTCTTACGAGAAGAGATGCCAGCATTACTCAGGGCCGGTCAGTCCCCTCCAGAACACGAAAACTGACATGTGGAGAGTCCCGATCGATGGAAAGAATACCTCCATGTTTGTACCCTCTTTTCACCTCAGGAGGATGTCAGTCCCTGCCACTCGTCGACCATGGACTCCATGTGTGGAGAGCACTGGATCTATGTGAGTCAAAGACAATGCTCTTGTCTTAATGGGGGGAGGTTGTGTGTCCCCTTAGGTGTTTTTTTATGATGATGATGGTTACTTAATTAATGATGCCATCAGAGTAGAGGTATGCAAAGAACACTGGACCAACGATGCCCACCGGTGGCGTCTGAGGCACAGACGATGAGCAGTCCGCGCGTGGGACTGGGACGTCCAGTGCAGAGGGACACCTCAGCCTTTGCTTTGGGGCTAAATGGGCCCATGGACCAAGAGTACTTATTTCCCTGGGCTGGTGGCTCCCTCTTCATGCAATAATATTTCTCAGAATCAATGGACTTATCCACAGGTATCATGGAAAGTATTAAAAAATGGGAATGTGGAACCCTGGTAACAATGACAAATGCATCTAGCCAGGCCTCAGAAATGCTTATTATCTATTGAAACCCTCCAAAGCCCATTTCAGGAAAGTGACCTTCCAGGAGGGCCCTGCTCCGGCTAAGGACCCTGTAAGCAGTGTAGCTGCAGTCATGTTCTTTCTCTGGTTGGTGGCCAGCCCAGGTTGGTCAGTCACTCGAGAGGAGACAAACAGCCGCTCTAGCCAGTAGTTAGCTAAATGCAGGAGTAAGGGCAGGTGGAAGGGACCGTCACTAAAGCTAACGTGTCGTCTTTCATCATTCTCTCTCTTCCACACCCTTCAGGACAACAGTGGTGCGCTTCCCACCAGGGTCTCCAGCTTGCAGTTGGCTCTCAGTGTCAGAAGCGTGGACACCTAGGGGAGTCACTGTCACACGCCCTCCCTTGGTGTGAGTGGTTTGTGCGCCTTTTTTGGTATCGTCCCCTCCCCCTGGGTCTCAGTCAGCTGGTGAGTGCATAGCAGCAGATGACAAACGAGAGGCTAATCCGGACCAATGTCGATCAGCGATGAGATCTGAATCGTGGACAGTGACTAGTGTGTGTCTGGAACTCTGAGGTCCAATCCAGAGGGACAATGTCAGAAGTACTAATCCTGGCAACAGATGTCAGAAGATCTGGTGCTTCCCCTTTGATGACTAAGGAGTTTTGACTAGGATCTTATTGAAAAATAGATGGAAGTATCCATTGATCATAATGGAATCCATAGGAATATGGGTGAAGCATCTTTCAAATTTACATATATATGACAAATCCAGGAGTGCTTTGAGCACATATCATACAAATGGTGTCATATCGAGGTGGAGGATGCTTGCTTCTTTGGCTGAGGCTCATGGGGAAAGTAAAATTCAAAGTCCTTGATCTCGTCCTTGGTGGCGGTATGTGAGGAGTTGCGAGCATTCTCAGAGAAGAAGTCAACACTACCTAGAGTCGGTCATCTCTTAAGAGTGTGAGGAAGGAAGGTGGAATGTTCCACAACCAACTGAGACTGTGTCTCAATATTTGTATTCTCTGCTCTGGCTTCTCCCCCTTCAGGATGGCTCTCCGGGATGATTTCATTTCTGCCATGTTCACATGCAGGGCAACTGACCTCATGAGTTGGGAGAATAAAAATCGATGTAAGTAACAGTCAAAGGTCTTGTCTGAATCAATAGCAATAGGTGGATGTGAAGGAAGGCCAATTCTGGACCAATGATGACCACTGGTGGCGTCTGAGTCATGGACAATGAACAGAACGCGTGTGGAACTCTGAAGTCCTATCCAAAGGAAATCCCGCCCCTCCCCCAGTAGGAAATGGTGTTGCAACCAGAGACTAGCAAGTTCCTTGGAACATCTTCAAAAATCAGCGAAAGTGTCCCCACAAATCATGAAATAAATAAAGCTGGAAAAGTGGAAGACTTGGCCAATGACAGATGCATACAGAGGGCCCAGAAGTAGTACTTGTTGAGGCCTAAAAGCCCATTTAAAGGAAGGTGCCATTCTAAGGGGTTTCTTCTATGGCCGAGAGCCATATAGGCGATGTAACCCGAGCCTTTCCCCACCATGCCATTCCAGTCTACGGGGGAAGAATTAGACAGGTCGCCCAGTCCGTTATTAACTGAATGCATGAATAAGGGCGGGTGGAAGAGACCCCCAAGTCAGTTATGATGTTAAGCCTTCTATCATCTGCTCTGGTTGTACCTTTCAGGAGGGTGGTTCCCAAGGTGATGGAGCTCTCTGCCAGGTTCTTCAGCTCAGTGACTGGCTCTTGGTGTCGAGGAGGATGGACATGATGTGAGTACAGCAGTAAAGCATCCTGTCTTGTTGTGGGTGGTAATTCCTCAGGGGTGCCAGTTAAAAGTTGAATTCACCAATAAGAAGGTGTCAGGGCAAAATAAGAAACTGCAGGTCAATTCTGGACTACTGCTGACCGGTGGAAGCGATGAATAATGTGTGTCTACAACAAGCCTGAGAACAGACTCCGATGTGGACCCTTGCCATCGTTCAGAGTGTTTATAGAGAGAGGTTGGATAGATCTAAGGCTGTGGGGCTTTTCTTTTTATCATTAATGACTTTAGTGTAATATCAAGATTCAACGGACATTTCCATTGAAAAGAATTAAATTCATAGGAATAAAGAGGGTGGGGCAACGTTCAACTCTACACATGTGTAGAAAATCAAGGCGGACTTGCTTTGTATGTCAGAAACCGTAAGAAGGGTATCGTTTCAGGGTGGGGGGTGATTACCTCGTTGCTGAGGACCATTTGGACAGTAAAAACCAAGTGCAGGACCCTAGCTTTGGTGGTGGTATACGCGAAGTCGATAACATCCTTAGAGCAGAGGAAGTCAACCTGGCCCAGGGTCAGTGTGAAGAACGGCAGATGGAATCAACCAAGGAAGATGATTTCTAAAGATTTGTATTCTCTGCTCTGCCTTCTTCCCCTCAGGATGGATGCCTGGGGTGATTGCCATGTCGACCAGGGTCACCTGCAGGGCAATTGACTCCATTCGTTGGGAATGGGAGAATCAATGTGAGTAATGAAGATCTTATCTTGTCTTAATCAATCATAAGAGGTGCACTTGAGGGAAGAAAAGCGAGGTCACTTCTGGACTCATGATGACCACTGGTGGCGTCTGAACCATGGACTGTGAATGGTCCACGTGTGGAACTCTGAGGCCCAACACAGAGAACGGTCTAGGCCCCTTCTATGATTGGAAGCGCCAGTGAGGAGAGATGGTGTACAGTTTCAAGGACCTAGGGCTTCTCCTTTCAGGACTAATATGCCTTGACTGCAGGATTGTTGTTAAAAAATCAAAGAGAGAATCTGTCAAAAACAGTTAAATGCACAAGACATTAAAGCGGGAAGCATTCTATAACTCTCAATATGTACCTATTTGGATATATTGAAAGAATGGTATCATTTTCAGTGGGGAAAACTTCCTAATTTGGCCACGGCTCATTTGGACAGTTAAACAGTGTCCATAGCCTTCCCGTTGATGGTGCCTGGACAGGTTTTGTTCGGGTTCTTTAGAGAAAAGGAGGGTCAATCTCTCTTGGTTGCTAGCATGATGAAGGAAAGGTGGAATGTTTTCCCAGTGTTGTGTCCTCGGTTCTGGCTTGTACCCTTCAGGATCAAGGTCCAGGCTGACTTCCATTTCTGCCAGGGTCACGTGTGGTACAAACGACTCCGTGTTAGGGGAACTTGGAAATGGATGTGAGTAGTTGTTGAAGATCTTTCCTGGATGACAGAAAAAAGCATGTCTGACCCTCTTCTGGGCCATCGATGTTCCCTGGTAGCGCCCGAGTCACAGACAGTGAACAGGGACCACGGAAAGGGACATGCCTTCACGTTCTTTTCTGAGGCATGCTTCTGTACACCGTGCCATGTCCTTGGCTTTGTGCCTCCCGATCAAGCCCAGGGAGTATTGAATATCTTTCTAAAAATCAACAAAAGTGCCCATAAGATGCTGTGATAATATGTAATACCTGAAAAGTGAAAGGTTTATCTAATGATGTGCCCATATGGAATCGTCAAAAATGCTATTTGTTGAAGCCCCAGAAGCTTCTTTAGAAAGATGTCATTCCAGGTGGGTTTCCTCTATGGTCAAAGACCACGTAGACAGAAAAGTCCTTGGTCTTTGGCTGGTTGGTGGCCTATGCTGTTGTTCAAATCATTAAGGTGGTTGGGCAGGGGGGTGGGGGGGTGAGGGGGCAATCAACAACCCCTTAGTCAGAAATTACCACATGCCCAAGGAAAGGTGAGCTGCTCTGGTCAGTGTCACTCAGGTGTCAAGCCTTTTATCATTGGCTCCACTTCATCCCCTTTAGGAACGTTGCCCCTGAACTTATGGGCCTATCCTTCATCGTTTACAGACCCTGATGAGTGGCCCTAGGTGTTGACCGCTTGGGTACTGATGTGAGTCAGAGTCAAAGATACTGTCTTGCGTGGCTACTTTCTCTGCCCTCTCTTTTGTTGTTGTTTTTTAATGAGTGTCAGTTAATGGGGTGTATCTTGGAGTAAAGGTCATATGGACAGAATCATAATAGTCAAATGTAATACTCTGGCTCATATTGAGTTTCAGTTTGCTTATTTTATTAAATGAAACAGAAATAAATAATTCCATGAACCAACCAATACCCAAATAAGTTGATCAAACAGAAGTCTTGAATCAATAGAGATAATGCTCTGTTAACAAATGTTTAAACTGCTCCTTCAGATTCATTCTTAATTTTTTAAGTTAGAAAAGAATACATATTTATCTTCCATTCTTTTCACCATTGACTTTCATTCCATAGAATGGATGCTCTAGAACAGGTAATTATTTTCTATTGAGCAAAAGCTTTATGACTCTCTGTATATAGCATTTAATATGAGTAATAATCAAATGTATTATCTGTGGTGGGGTGATCTGTTAGGATATTCGCCGCATTATCTCAAAGTAAAGGAAAACCAGAAAGGATTCACCAAGTCCAAAGATGGTAGATTCTTGGTAGAAATGAAGGTTTATGATTATTCAAAGTCAGCATGGCAGAAGACCTTTTAAAAGGAGCCTTAGTGTTGAGGGTAAGGAACATAAAGTCCAAGATACTGAACGCTCATGTTCTTTTTCTTAAGTTGGGGTGTGCACTCAAGGATGTTCATTATGTTATTAGAGTTGATAATTGACTATATTAATTCATAAAACATGCTTGGGTTGTTTTCCTTATTTTTACTAAAAATAAATAATTAAGCAAATAAAAATTAAATATCCTAGTGTGCTATTGAAATTATAATAGCCACTCACGATTAATGAGATTCTGTTATGAAGCAAAAATTCGTTTCCCTCTGATAAACCATTTTACCACTCTTGTGTCAAAGAAGTGCATAAAGAGATTTAAAGACTGGTCAGTTTCTTTTTTCAAATGTAGTAGATTCTTTATTGTTACTTTTATTTTTGAGAAAGAGCAACTTAATAAATTAATAAATAAGAAAAGCATTCATCTATAGAGCAAATTAATATGACCGAACATGTCTGTGCTACAAGTTCCAGAAGCAAGGGTCACGGTCAACATGATTCTATCTTTCCGAGTTTCTGTTGGACAGGTAAGATGGAACGCGAATTTCACTTGATGTGCATTGCTTTGTTTCCATGGGTTCATGATGTGAGTTTTATTCTTATTTAGTACAACAACCCATCAAAAAGAAATGAGAAGAGGAACAAACAGGGGCCAGTCTATGAACAGTGAGCTTTGAGGTAAGTTATGGTAGTGCCTCTAGTTGTGCGCCACTATCAATATTATAAATGTCTGACTATCTTCCTTATCTATGAAACCCACTGCCGATTTTGTGTCTATTTCATCTCGAGTATGAATTCAGCTGTTACTGAAATACTTGGGACGTTTGTAGATGACACTTACACAGGTTACTATTTCCCCGATCATACGTAAGTTCTGGTGATATTGTTTATTTGGAGGTGGGACCAAATAAATACCCCATTTTTTTTTCCGGGGGCACTTGATAGCAGAGAGAATGCAAGAATAACTGAGGCCTTGAACTGAGCTCAACAGGTATTGCTTGGTCTTAATCCGTGCCAGGACTGCCTGAGGCATGGCATTCGTTTTATGAATCCGATCTAGTTCTAGCCATCAATGAGTTCTTAGGGATTGTGTCCGGACTTTCTCTAAATATAGCAAGACGGAAGCCCAGAAGGTAGGTTCTCAACAAGATTTAAAATCTCAGATACTTTATGGAAGTATTGAATCTAGAGCCATTGACAAGCTCACTGGGACCGGAAGCTCCATGAAGTTAGTGACAATGTTAATCTTTTTCATGGTTACTCTCACCTTGGGCCTAGAGCATAGAGCATATGGAATGAACAGTTGTTGAATGGGTGGTTGGATAAATGATGAGCGAATGAATGAATGAAGTAAACAGTGAGTTATTGAATGAAAGAGTCCTTGAGAAAACAAAGTGATGAATTAATAAGTGAATGGGAATGTGAACACGTCCCTGTAATGGTGAATGAATCAGGTTGAGTTCACGAGGGACAGTGATACAGGGAGGAATGCGTGTTGAGTTTTTGTGTACATGGGAGTGTAATAAGTCAGCAAGCTAGTCATTGGTGGCCAAAGAAGTCCTTGAGTGAGAGAATGAAAGACAAAGAAGTCAATGAATCACTAAATGAAAGATGAGTTCACAAATGGGTGAGTGAATGAATGATTCACTGGATCCCTGTGTGTGCATGGGAATGGATTGATAAGTGAAAGTTTATCTGTTCTGAAGGGATACATGAGTCAGCAAGTCAATATGTTAATTGATCAGTGGACGACCCTCTTAAAAAACCATTGCTTTCAAGTTGATTTCAACGCATCGCGGTGCTATAGGACAGAGCAGGGCCGCGGCTAAATCTGTCGGGGAACAGATAGTCTCATCTTTCTCTCTTGGAGTGGCTGGTGGGTTTTAATTGCCAACCTTGTGATTAGGAGTCAGAAGCTCAACCCACTTTGTCACCAGGCCTCCTGCTGATTGAATCAATCAGTCAGTAAATGAATTAATTGATCTATTAGTAAGTCAAGAAATATGAGAGGAATGAGCAAATAAATGACAAAATCAATGTGGGAGGTGAACGCGATAGAGTATTAACATAGAAATCGGTGACGAAGACAATGAGTAAACAGGCAGATGGGCTGATAAATGACAGAATATAGTTGAAGTCAATGAATAAAGGTATGAACTACTGAATGCACAAATGAATGAATGAGTGTTTAATTGAGGAATAAATAACTCCTCTGTGAATGAATGAACACTCGAATGAGTTCATTGTGAGTGAATGAGTCAGTGAGTGAATGGTCACACAGCATGGTCCCTCTGACTGCTCCCCGGACCGTGAGCAGTACCGGTGCCCTTGGAGCACATTAGGAATACCCCCGCCAGCGTTCCCCTCCCCCTTTATCCCGGCTCTTTGTTTATGCGTCATCACCCAAATGGTGAGCCTTCAGAGCCAGGAACTGGGTCAAGGTTTTCTTCATATGGCCAACGCCCATCCAGCCCTGAGCCTAGTAGGCGCTCAGTGAATTATGGGTGGACGGATGAGAACACACCTAACAATATCCATGCTCTTGTGGAACCAGGATGGCCCTTCTCCGAAAGGTCTGGGAGCTGTTCGGTGTGGAAGTGTGTTGTGTGTCAGGTGGTCTGTGGCCTCCTCCTCCTCCACAAGTCCAGATTCTCCCTGGAGTTTTGAGCGTTCTGCGTCCAGTGCCAGATAGTGAGACAGGATACTGGCAGTCCTCACCGCCTTGGGCACTGGCCCATCCTTGGGCAACGTTGGCTTGGCATGGTGGAATGGAAGCCCTGGGTCTTCCCGAAAACGGCCGTAGCCTTTGCCAAGATCGGAGATCAAAAATAACCTTGCCTTGCTTTTATGCCTTCGGTGAGTAGGCCGGAGTGTCCCTCTGTGGCTGCCCCACTCCTAGAATTTCTAAGCAAACCAAACTCCTTTTGGGTTCTGATTGTGGGACCTGGGGTCAGAGGCCAAGCACCTCTAGACGGTGACCCTCGGCTTCTTCATCCCTGAGCTGAAGATAAGAAAACCAATCTGCCTGGGTTATAGTAAGTTGTGGGATCCGAGTTTACAGCAAGGCCCTTGACTAGCATAACACTTATCGTATACACAATATGATGCCTTGGGGAGAATAGGTG